ATCGTAACCCTTAGAATTCCGCTGTTGTATAATATGCGACATCACAAATGAAAGCAATTACACGGTAGACGATTGTTCTCTCTCTTTCTCGGTTTACTTATTCTTAAAAAAAAAAAGCAATCGTACGCTGCAGTACAAGTCGGTAAATATATTATGTAAAATATTTTACATTTCCATGATCAAAAATAGAACGTTATGAGAACGTTAGATTGTTAGAAGAATATTGAAACATTTCGACCGTGTTTTTTTACAACGTTGTATGAAGTTTAGTTATTACATTTTAACTGTGGATTAGTCGAGAAAAAAATTAAAAATACGAAATAAAAACTGTCACGGAAACATTATTATAAAAACATATATTTTAATGTTATACATTTATAATTTACGTGTACGATGTGGTAAAATTTATAATATTTTCTAAAAAGTATTTGAGTCGAAAAACATCCATGGTTAAACGATAATATTTCATAATAAAAAAAATAAAATTTAATGTACAGAAAAAAAGGGTAAAAACACTTTCCCGATTTCCTCGTTTCTTGATAATGTTATATTATATAATTATATTTAAATTCAATACCTAAATAAATTTGAAACCTGTGCTTTTAGAAGTTTGTCTTTCTTTCGAATGTACACTGTGACTATTAAGGCAGCAATGGGGTCTTTTATTTGAAAGCATTAAAAAGCATATTAGATTTAAATCCCGAGAGAACACTGGAAGAAAATTAAAACAATTTTATGGTGTAAACTATTACAATTACATGCAACTCTAATACAATCATTATGATACATCACTGTAACAAAGTACATTATTGTTTCAACTTAGTTCTATTATTATTACAAAGTTAAGCCAATATTATTCTCAAATTATAACACAGTATCAAATATGGAACCAAAATACGTGTTGTAATTAACTCGGGACATCCGCCAACTGGCAGTCGCTGATTTGGACGAAAATTTTGCAGCTTTTGCTGTACGGAATTCGAAAAGACGTAATTCTTTCCTTTGGAAATTACCGTTCAGGAGTTAGGAATAGATTTCGATAACAAGAGTCACGCCACAGGACTCAATTAATTATTAATTTATTATAGTATATTTTGTTATTTTTAATTATTTACTTGTCCCTTGGAAAGTCCCTACCGTTCGATGTAGAAGTACTTGAAGGACAGAGGCTTTTCGCACCAGGCATCACGCAACATACTTTAGAAACGATCTGTTTCCGCATTTGTCGCAGGTGTCCTCTGTTATTGTAAAGCACACCTGCCTCACAAACCCAAAGGCGGACAAGTAACCAATTAAAAATATTAAAATTAATATAATAAGTTTATAGAATAAGATTCTATATTACTGTCAAGTGCGATATGATACCTGTTATACAAATCAATCCATAACTAAACGGTGGATTTCCGACGATAGAACTACACCTTTCCGGATTCTCTAGGGCAAAAACTGTTCAACGGTAGCATTTTCTTCCGCCGCCAGCTGGCGGACATCCCGAGAAAGAGCTATTTACATTCAAAAAAGTTCGCAGTAATAGAATAAATTTATATACTTTGAGAAAAATAGCTTGAGAAGGTATTCGTCTTTAATGGATTTCGCTGTAGCCATTATAGAGTTATCCGCGTATAAATTATCAATTTATACACGCGTGCCGTCTGTATCACGCAACATAGCTTATCAGTTTCCTCAATCCCTGCTGTTTACGTATTTCCGCCAAATTGATAACACGATCGACTGGTGTACAAAGCTCTTCTACATTCCGTGGCACAACCTGCATCTCAAAGCGAGCAAAAGACGAACGCGCGTATTGCTCCCGATCCACAATGTGGGGATCAAATTGATAACCGGGCCCACCTCGGAAAAGAGATTGTCGAGACCTCCGGCGTGCTGTGACCAAAGAAAGAGAGAGAGAGAGAGAGAGAGAGAGGGAGAGGACGAGAAAAAACTGGAGCTCTCGATACATACCGATGTGTATGGCCGTACGCGGGGCGCCCCGAGGCCATCCGACGAAATTGCATCCGGAATTTCAATATAGCATATCATATTTCAACCTTAAAACGCCGCAAGCACTGTCCGGGTATTACTTTGAGGCTCCTATGCCCGTAGAAGTCGACTTTGCCCACCGATTATAGAGATTCCGACTGCGGTAAGGTATATGCAGGTGAAACGCGTGGGGGATGGAAAACCGAGGGATGCGCAACCATCCCCCTTTCTGTTTCTCTCTCTCTCTCTCGCCCTCTTTCTGTCTTCCCCTCCCGACGCGATCTTTGCGCCGGAGTGGAACAGTCTGCAGGGGACATTAGATGGTTTTCGCTCGGAATAAATGATCAAAAGGTAACTCCGGATTAAAGCTGTCGCTCGCTCGGCGACTCGCTCGCGCTTACACGCTCCGCTGCGACCCGGATGTTGCGCTTTTACAAAGCGGTTTAATCAAATTTTCAGAAAAGTCGGTGATGCTATTAGCACATATTCACCTGTGTCGGAAGGCGCGCGCGTTCTCCCAGTTTCGGATTCTTTGTCAGATTTGGAAATGACTCCAGCTTATAGTGAAAGATTAACGTAAAGGCCGAATTATATCTCCGTACTTAAAGTTTGAGTAGGAACTAAACATTTATATTTCGTTCACTCGTTTTAGAAGCAAATATTTTGCTACATGATCTGTCGCTACGATCAAAGCATCATTGTAGAAGTAAAGTATTTAATACTAAAAATAAAGGAGAATTATGTGCTAATAATAAGATTAATCGTACCGCAAATTTTCATTCAGGATCGAATCTAAATTTATAAAATTTTTATAAAAAAGCGCGATTTTCATTCTTATTACATTATCTTATACTGTTCCATGAATTACAATAAATCACCATTAACTGCATCTCTCATTCTTTTTCTGAATAAAGAATTATAGAGTCTAACGAAAAAAATACCAAATTTTTCAAATAATCAATAATCACTGTAAAATTAATGAAATATATGAGAGACGTAATAGAAAGAACAATTCTCTATCATTTATATGATACTTTTTAATAATTCTCTAAAATAAAATACTTCTCTGTATAAAAAAATCGGGAATATATATAATTATTAATAGCAATGCCGCGCTGAATTATGAATCGATTATACTTTCAAAGCTTTTCCTTCTTTTTTTTCCATCGTATATGTCGGGGAAAAGGAAAATTACGCGGTTCGAATCGGAGGCGAGAAAGGTAAGAGAAATTAATGCCAGTTCGTTAGGGCGGCTTGTACTCACGTCGCGGGATTTAATTATTAGTGCGAGTAAAAGTAAATGATAGCCGTGAGAAGAAAATGTCGATTTAACGAGGAGGTACAAGCATATCGCTGTCGAGGCACTGGCGCTGTTCGCCATTAGGTGGAATGACCTTTCGAGCAATTTTCACGTATCCGGGGCGATCTCTAGGAGAACGACGATATAATATATTCTTTTTTTTATTAATGAAAGATATCATAAACGAGTTCCAAAGCAATCTTCCGCCAAGTACTCGGCAGAGCGCCGAGACAATTTTCTTCCGAAGTTTACCCGCTCGCGCTTATCGAGAGAAGAGTTTCCGCGGGCAAAAAATTCTCATTATGACTTATCCACGATCGACTACTCCGGCCGAGATACCGTGGATAAACCGAGATAAAAGGAAATCTACGAAGGCGAAATCGACAGAATAATCGCGACGTGTGATCGAAGGGGATGCAACTCGAGAACGCGGGACTTGGCTGAAATATCAACGCTGCTTCTTTTTTTGTCGCTGCAAAGTACGAGAGGAGCGAATCTGACGTTAGCTCGAGAGAGACGAGGAATCCGCAATATACGGTGTCGAATAAACGTTTAGTTTAACACGGTGATTTATCGTCACTGTCATTGGGAGAGAAAGAGTGGCGCTATCGTGAAAAGGCAGCCGCATGCAATATGAACGAAATCGGCCGTGCCAAAGGTAACGAAAACATTTATTCGCTAAATGAAATTGGGAGTGAATGGGAGAGATTGACAGGAGTTATATGCATCGAATCGGTGCAAGATCCCGTGGCGGACAGCGAGATCCTGGCGAGCGTTCCGGTAATACCGAGTCGTTTATCACACAACTGGCGAATGGAGAGCTCGTGAGATCGCGAGATCGTCCGACAAGCTGCGCGCGGTGTTGCGCTACGTTACTAAGTTCGCTTGAGTTGTGGTGATTAATCGATAATCGGGTTCCACATGATACGGTATACGTCGTCGATGTGCGAAACGACCTTAATCACATTAGTTGACGATGACATGATCGATATATTATGATAGGACAGGTCATTCCGTTTCGTTCAGCTTAACATCACAGCGCACTGCCCCCAGCGTTCACGTCATGCTTATCTTGCTCGCGTATCTGCGCGTTACGCTCGCATCTACATGTACATTATCATAATAGAAGCGAGCTGACTAATTAATCGATCCACATGCCACCTCCCAATTTCAATTTGCGCAGTTTCATATTTATGTTGGGACGTACGAAACAAGTTATTCCGTAATTGACAGATAAACATCATAATACATTTACATAAAATACACTTTGCCTGAAAAAGGAAAAAAAAACTGCTTTGTGCAGTAAACTCAATAATACTGTAAACATAAAATATGAGATTTATGAAAATAACGGAATTTTTCATACATTTTGTTCGCGTAAATCAATCCCGTAATAGATGCAAGTTATATGTATGCAAAAATATCCGTATAAAATTGTTATCAGATAATTCTCAGCTGTTTATAGTTTTTGACATTATGTGTTCCATTAAAAAAAATTGATTGCCGCGTGATTTTGGTAATCAGCCAGACGTAAATGGCGGCTGGATCTTTCCCTCGTGCCCGAAGGTATCTCTCGCATTTTAGTAACAATACTTGCTGATCGCGATTCTATTCCCTGGCAATTGTTACAGTGTGCCACCTACTGCGAGGCGGCGTGGCAGCGATTTTTGGACCGCAGAGCGCACACACGGCATCTCACGTGCAGAGCATTTGTGACACCATGGAAATTCCGCACTTGGAGACGCGCTGGGACTACCGGCTCAGACGGCAGAGCTGCCTCGTCAACCTCTATCCGCATCCCACCACTTTGTCCAAGGTACGTATACACAAACTTTAGCCAGAATAATAGCCTCATTAAAGCGGCACCCATCGCGCAAGATCTGCCTTCGTGACCCTCCTCCTTACGGATTTCTTGCCTCTCATGGCTGTTTTACCTCCGCCTTCATCGACGACAAACATGGCCCTTTTAGATTGTAGGATTAAGGGTTGTCGCTCTAATCAAGGTAATTTCAACAATTCGTGCCTCGCATTTTACTGCGCCGTAATTATAATTGGAGTCGCGAGAGGCCCGTCAAGTCCAGAAAAACATTCAAGTTTTGGTTGAGACAAAAACATACATCAGTATTATAAAAATTTATGAGTAAGATCGTGGTCTCAGGCGATTGAAAGTTTCTTCTCTCGTTTAATTCGTAATAAATATAATTGAGGCCGCTAATAAATTGAAGTAAATTTCGCATTTGGCCGAAAGATCGCATTGATTTTGCACTTTAATCAAGATACAGTGCTAGAGATCGTTATCGCGGCGAGTTCGCTGTTACATTCGGTTGTATCTGTATGCATCGGGTGCAGTGCTCACGGTGCGGTAATTCTGAACTTAAAAGAACTGAAACTTTTTGAATTTCTCTTAATAAGCGCGAAGTTTCGTGAAGGGATGCGGCTGAAAGCCTCGGTCGCGAGTTTGTATAGCTCTCGGGCTTTTTGGGTTAACGAGAGTTCTCGCTCTTTCTCTTCGTTCTCTCTCTCTCTCTCTCTCTCTCTCTCTCTCTCTCTCTCTCTCTCTCTCTCTCTCTCTCTCTCTC